CCCGGCTGCCTCTTTTCATAACCCTCTCCTTCTCTCTCTCCGGTCTGTCTTTCTCCGGCTTGCTTCAGGCCTCGACGGGCTGCGAGGTCAGCTTTAGAAGCGTGTGTGATCTCTCACTCCTTCCCCTCCTCTCTTTTTTCTTAAACTGCCTCACACATTCTTTCCCTCCGCAAGTTGTAAGCCATTAACCTTTCCTCACTTTCCACCACTCTCACTTTTTTCCCTTACCCCTCCGCTCTGTATATCTGCATGCCATTAACTCTGCCCCGACTGTACCGTACATCCCCTTTCTTTCTTAACCTCTTTCTGTTCTCGCTACAGTTTCACCCCCTTTCTTCCGCATCAGCCCTTCTTCGTCCTGCATGGTAATCTCCCTCTCCTCTGCCTTGTTATCTCCCCCTCTCCTCCCTCCCTCCAACACCGTAGTCACTCTCTAATTGCTGTCTCACCCCTGCTGTGCTCGGACCCGGAGGCTAAATGATTTCTACAGGGAGAGTAAGAGTGGAAGAACGTGAAAACACAGAGCTGTTTGCAAGAGACATTTTTTTTTATCATTATTGATGAGTTCCTTGTCAGGAGGTGTGTGTGTTTACAGTTGGTGTTGGCCCTCCTATTGGCACCATCACACACTTTTCTTGTTTTTATATTTATTGTCTCCATGCCTCTCGCCTCTTTCCTTCTTTCATAAAGGACCCTTTTATCTCAGTAGTGTTATTTATGACTGTGAAGCAGGACTTACTAGCTTTCTGTGTTTTGTGATGTGTTTGTTTACAAACACAATGTGGATTTTTGTCACAAAGAAGTATTTGTGTTTTCCAGAATGTGGGTTTATGTCAGCCTCCCTTGAGGTCAGGGGATGAAATTAAAAGCACGTGCTTACAACTAAAGTGGAAGAAGTCGCATCGTTTACTTACGCAAAAGTAGTAATAACCACAGTGTGAAAATTTTGGAAAAATGGCAGACTCTGCCACTGAAACACCAGCCATATATAGTGTCAAAGATTGGGTCTATGAAAATGTTAAAGATTATGACTTTAAAGGGTACTCTACATTAGATTGTGTAAAATTTGTGAAGTGCCTCTTTAAAGGTCCAGTGTGTAACATTTAGGAGAATCTATTGACAGAAATGAAATGTAATATTCATAGGTATGTTTTCATTAGTGTATAATCAGACACTCAGTCAGTGACAATAAAAATCATAATTTTTTTGTCACCTTAGAATGAGCCATTTATATCTACAGACACTGCAGGTCGCCTTCCATGTAATGTGCCATGGTGAACCACCATGTTTCTACAGTAGCCCAGATAGGACAAACCAATTACTGGCCCTGGATGGGGCCGTAAATATATAGTATTATCATTAAAGATGTATCCACATGTAAGCAGCATTTCAATATTGAAGAGGCCAAAGTGGAGTAAACTAGTAACTATAGCTTAGAAATAAATGTGAAATAAAGGGTACCATACACCCATCTGAAATGTAGTAAAAAAGTAGCAAAGAATAGAAATTCTTACCTCTAAATTTTACTAGAGTAAATGTATTTTACTTTCTACCACTGGCTTGTAGCAAATGACGAAAGGGCTTTGCTAAAATGAGCATCAAAGAAAAAGAGTATGTACACAGTCTCATTCACCAGCACTTAACTTCCTGTGACAGCCTCCTCCTCGTCCTTGCATCACACCGTTGACTTCCCACGAGCGCTTTCGCAATATCATGTGTGTGCACGTTGCACCCAGAGGCGCTGCACAGAGGCACAGGAGTTATCAATAACAGAACGGTCAATAACCGTGTTATTTATATATCTTTAGATGCCCTCAGGCTGGATGAATCCTTTAACTGCATTTTGCAGAGCAATTTTCAGCAGTGAATGTTAATGAATGATTCAACATAATATGAAAACAGGGAATTGGTTGGTATCGTTTGGTGGGTCACAATCTAAAAGTATTTAATTACTGATTCGCATTGATGTCTGCATGCTTTATATTCACACTGTGCTATAATGTGAGTGTCATGTGTGGCAAAGACAATAATGTTAATTGTGTAATACAGGCATATTTCACTAACTATGAATTATGTATGTTCATGCTGATGTTAATGATATGCTAATGATGATGATAGCCTAGGTCCATTTCCTGTTGCACTGGTGAATTACATATGCATGTTCATCGACTTGCCTGCTATACCTCATATACTTCAGTTGTTATAAAGGTGAAACGGGGCAAAATGGAGACATTGGAATTTCCTCACAGAGGAAGAAACTACTATATATGTCACGTTTTTTCCCCACATGAGGTGATACGGAGTTTGCATTTCAAGAGGAGAGTGAGGATGGAAGAAAAGCTAATCAGAAAGTGGTGTTTTTTTCTTAATCCCAGCTCTGCTGAGGCGCCTTTTCTCCTCAAGAAAAATCTGTGTTTCTTTCACACTGCCTCTGCAATCACTTGAAACCCCATTACAGACCATGTGACAGCATCAATTAAATTCACAATTATCATGGGGCAGAGACACCCCAGCGTGAGAAAATATAGTAACACAGCATCGTCTCGGAGACTGTGTGCGTGTGTGTCTGTGAATACGTGCATGTGTGTGTTTGTGTGTGTAAGAGAGAGATAGAGAGAGAGAGAGAGTGTTGATAGAGAGCAGAAAACTGAGCCAGACAATTCACTACTCAGAATGTTTCATGCCCTTTTTGGCAACTCTTGTGAACCTGAACAACTCTCCAAAAACAAGATACCACAGTAAACAAAACCTTGGATCCTTGACGGCATTAAGACATTTCAAGGGCCACTCTAACAACAGCGAATGGACAGCTGGTGACTGACTGCCTGCTTCTTTTGATTTAATACCCAATGAGCTGGGGTTTTTTTGTGCTTTCAAACTATTTGAAATCACAGAAAGTGCTTATAAATAGCCGTGCAAAATTACACTGGGTGCTGTCACAGTGTGTCCACAAAGTTGGCCCCTAATTCATTATCAGTTTAGCTGCAGAGCCTTTGTCTCCCATTGACATCACAGATTAGAGCCATGGCTCTTGTTTCCAGCTTCAGTAGAGATTTATCCAGACCGAACTGTCCGAGATCACACAAAAAACAGCATGAATCAGTATTAGAGGGCGGATTTTTTGAAGTGAGCCCACAATTAAATACAGAATCACACCTTCAGATGTACATGGTTTGTGTGTCTGAGTGCGTGCGCGAGTACAGCATAGCTGGCTGAAGGAGGGACACGTGTTGTGAGTCACAGGCAACAGTATCTGCAGCTGATTGAGCCAGAATTTGGTGTTGGATCTGGCAGGTGGAGCTGTTCTGGCCTGTACAGTCATTTTCTTCACGCTCTCCATCACAGCTCTCTCCATTTAAGCACAATCAGGTCCCAAATAGGGAAAAAAACAAGGCAGTGTGTCCGCATTGATCTCTCTACCTATAGTGCCGGCCTACGCTGGAGCAGAGCAGGAGATTAAAAATTCATAAGCGTATTAAGATCTATAAGAGCATTATTCATGTGTGCCGTCACTGTCTAATACAGTAGGGTACTAATCATACGCATCTCTAGCCCAGCACACACACACAAACACACAGTAACAATAGTGTTCTGGTTGTGTTCCAAGTGTCAGCACTATCATATGGGCATGTGTGTCTCGCCTGGCGTTGTTCCCTCCTTGAGTGCCATACAATGTGCTGGCATAAATACCTGCTTGACACAGCAGATTGGCACTAATGGCTTTACACACAGTGCCATCTGTAAGCTGGACCGTTACCTCTTGCATCTTCTGCATGGCCACTAACGGTGCTTCGTAGTGTTCGGTTCAGACCATCATCAGTCACAGTGGAAAGGCAAAAACAGCCAAATTAAATGTTGGCTAATCATTGCCGCACTTAGGGAGGCTGTACATGAAGGCTGCAGGGTCCTGCCCATCTGTGTGCACCTGGATATTAAAATTTAGAAACAAAGCAATTTGGGCGTTTTTGTCTAGTGAGTGTGAGACACCTCCCCCTGAGCTGAAGCTCTTAACCACCAGCGCAACTTCGAGCACTCACACACATACACACACCAACTTCTAACTCTGTGGGTTCCAGCAGCCTGCAGCAGTCACACAGGGATCATTACTATTCATTTGCTGAGCAAACTGGCCACACAGGCTTATAAATTAGCTCATCTACCGCAGCTGGGTACTGAGACAGTTGGCGCATGCTGAGGACCGAGAGCGTAGCCATTACAGTGCAGGGCTCCGAGACACCTTCTGTCCAGTCCACGTGACCTCCTCCACGCTCATCTGCTCACTCTGTCAAAGGAGGGGGGAGTGTGCATCAGGCACTGGGGGTGAGACATGCCCAGTCAATGATTCTAATAAATTACAGAGCAGAGCAGTAGGACTACAGCCCTGTGTGCGTTGTGCTGAGGGAGAACGCTGTGATAAATCCTGTCAAACCAAGTGTAAATCAGACTGAATGAAATAGCATTAGCGGGACCTTGCAGACCTCTGACCATGAGGGAGGAGAGCTGACAGCTCTGACCTACAGGGAAATGAGGGAACACTCGGACTACTCTTGCTTTCTGCCTTGGGTGAGGATCAATGGTGGAAGGAAAAAGTAAAGCTATTAATTCTCCTGGATATGTCAATTCCCATTGGCGTGTGTGGATTGGTAGTGATCATGACTAGCCCCTTGGGCAGACAGGATCTGGGGCTTTTGTTGCGCCTCAATACACCATTGATTCATTGAAGTTTTTTACGGCTATCTGGAAGGCACCACATCGCACTGGAGCAATGTAAATCAATTCCAATTGCAGGTTTATCACAATGCACAAAAAAAACTCAGAGCGTGACTGTGGGGTTAAATTATTCTGACCACTTTTTGTATAAGATGTGTACCTGAGAGAAGGACCTGAGGTTAAATAAGCCATGTAACAGACTTGTAACCGTGTCTTAAATATTCATAAAACATTCATAAAATAGTTCACATCCCTTGTGAATGATGGATGAAGTTTTTCTTTGCACTTACCCGTCCGATGAGCACAGGTTCAGGCCCGGCGTATTCTTCGATCACAAAGAACTGGTTCCAGATCCAGCTCCTCCTGCTGCGAGAGCGTGGCCCCTTCCTCTCCATTCGCTCATGCATTTCCTCTTCTACCTCTGACTCTGCTTCTTCAAACACAAGGCCCTTCCCATTTTCTGGATCGACAGATTGCATCCCAGCATCTTTTGTATCATGGCTCCATTCGGGAGCCGGGTGGAGCCTCAGGACATGACTGCTGTTGACAAGTTTGTTGTCTTCATCTGCAGGGTACTGAGCTGTGCTGAGTTCTGTTTGAGCAGTGTGAACCGACTCTGTTAATGGGTCTCTATGGGAATCTGCTGCTCTGTTCCCCGGTCTTACTCCCAGGGGTTGCATTGTCAGCACAGACGGTGGAGAATCATTTGTTTCAGAGGGTACATACAGTGGGAAATGTTTTGTCGATGTAAATGGTGGTTGTGTTTGGCTGATTATTACTTCCTTCTCAGGACTGAGACTGACCTCGCTGCGAGGTGTTGACAGCAAACGGGCCAGGTGTTTGCTCTTGCTATCGCCACTATCTGTACCCTGCATTCCCAAGTTGCCCTGCCCTTTACTTAAAGCTGGGTTGACTTCACTTAGCGGATTAATATGAGTGTTGGCACCTTGGTCTCGATTAAGATCTGGGGTGGTGACTGGGCTTACATAAGGTAATGCCGTCTGATTATCAAATCCAGTGTGAAACTGAGTGACAGCTATATCTTGTCTCTGCACTTTCTGAGCCTCTAACTGTCCGTGATTAACGTCAATCAAATCTCTCTTCCTGCTCCGGCTGCCCTTGCTCGGAAAGCTCAGGCTAGGAACACTCTGCATTTGGGAATTGACGATCCTGACGAGGTTCTCTTTCGACAGCAGCTTCAGAACCCCATAACTGCCAGTGAGGTTGAGTTTTCGGTTTGAATCTATGCTGAATCCTTTTCCTGGCACACCTGTAGTATGCACACTTAGATCAGGTCTGTTCCTGGATCTAGAGCCTGATTTAAACCTGGTTTTATTGGTGTGTTGATCTGGTTTATGATGGATTGTGAATGTTTTTTCTGACCTTCCTGTTTTGGCAGAAGTCTCAGCATTCTTGGTGTTGTTCTTAACTTTCTTCACATCCTGGTTTAACTCCTTGTTATTGGCTAACATGTGCGGTGTCACTTCTTTTTTATTGACAGAGTCGACCTCACGCTTGGGCTTGAAAGCTTGCCTCTCCTTGTTAGCTACCAATGGAGCAGCATGATTCTGCAATATCTTGGAATAAGAGAAAGATTCAGTGTCACCCGCCTGCTCATGACTAATCAGGTTTCTAAGAGTCACCATGGGCATAGCATTCGCATCAACGCTTGCATCCCATTGGTCCGCAGCTCTGCTCTCCCCTAGCTTCACCATGTGCGATCCGCCCACTCCTCTCCTCCGGACAATTTTACTGGCCAAGGCGCCTCCCGCGAGCCCCTCCCACAGCAACAGGGAAACCAATAGGAGCAGATTTCTTGTAATCATCTTGTCTTGTGGTGAGACGTCCTAATTTGAGTGAGGTTTGCTGTGAGGCAGGCCTTGTTTTCCGGTTGTCTTCATTCTCTCTTCTGTTTTCCCTCTTCTCATGCCCCTCCTCTCACTCTCGCATTCTGTGCCCTTCACACTGAGCTGGAGGGCAGGTGTCAGTCACTCCTTCTCCCTTTTTTTTCACGCTGCCTAATATCTTCCTCTATCTCAGCAAGCCGCTCTCTGCTGGTTTTTTCCCACTCCCCTTGTGAAGAGTCTCATTCAGTTTCCCACGGAGGGTTGAACACCCTGAGAGAAAAGATAAAGATAATTAAGTTAAAACTTTAATCATTGCACTGCGTTAATTAAAAGTGGAGCGGCATAGACAGGTAGGAGAACTCACAGACAAGCAGGAAGGACAGACCTTTTAACAGAGCAGCAATCACATTTTCACAGGCACAGAGGGCTTTGTAGGCTCAGAACACACATCCATTTATACCTTCATAATGACCCAAGTGTTTTTTCTCACATCTATTAGATAGACGGGGACAAAGTTATCATCATACAATTCTACATGGGGAAAGATAGGATAACAATATTAGAAAACGCTCTGAGCATTTAGTAATGGGAACGACTGTCAAGGATTTCTGACTGCAGTGCAAAAGAGGACCAACTATGATATGAAACTAACTTCATATCACTTTGATGCGCGATTAATTAGCTGAATTAATATTGTGCTTTGATCAGTCAGTTAGAATGTCAATACAGATGCAAGCTGTAGATGCAGATGCTCTTTGTTGTACACAGCGCCTTGAGCTATGTAAAAGGTTCCTTGGCTCTCGTGCTTCTGACTCACACTCTCAGCTTGTCTCTCATGCACTCAAGCCTCAGATGGAAATCCTACGCCAAATCAAAATGTCAGATATCAATCAGTGTGCTTGTTTTAAGATAAGCGGGCACACAGTACTGGTAACATCAGCCCACGCATCTGACAAGTCAATAATGTGACTATTTGCCAGATTTCATTAACATAAAAACCTTTTTATTTTTACTATGTGTGTAGAAAAAGACAGACATGTGCATGGGTAATTCAGAAAACTCCCTTTTAAAGGGGCAGTCCAGCGATTTGGCATTGCACTTCCATAATGTTTGAGGACTCACTAGAGGCAGATTTTGAAAAAGGAATGGTCAAAATGAAAGCAGCAGAGACTGATATATCCACATTGAATGGTACTACTGTGGGTCAAGCCTCCAAAATGACTAAATCCTACACAAATCCTTCTTTTATTGACATCATCAAGGTAATTTTCTCAGACTTCACAAAGCTTTCTTCAGAGCCACAGAAGCACAGCATACATTTATTTTTACATTTCGACAAATGATGTGTAAAACTGGAGTCTCCTGGCATTTTCCTGTGGACAAAAACTGTAAAAACTGGATTTAATATTTGTATATTTTGTGAAACTTATGTGTTATGAGTTAAGTAGTGGCAGTTTCATCTTGTCCTGTGCAGCGTGGTGTGGTTTGTCTGGGTGTATGACACTTGCTCCACTGTGGTGCAGACAGACCCTGTCAGCACATTCACTGGGGCATGACTGAAGTTGGGAGGTTCCTTCTGGAATACTTTTCACCCTCTTCCTCTCTCTCATCTTCTCCTCAACATCCTCAGCTACCTCTCTCTCAGTATCTCTTTTTCTAAGCAGACCCTTTTGATGAACAGTAAAGGAAAAAAAAGATTATCCACCCCTCCCCCTCCTCTGCATTCTCTCTTCCCACCTCTCCCACTCACCACCTGTCTCTTCCTCGGCCTATCTATCTCCCTAAATCTCCCTCTATCCCTTCTCTTTAACTCGCTATTGTTTTAGTATCCTGTCCTCTCTGCTGTTCGCTCCTATCCTCGTTTCCTCTCTCTCATCTGTGTCAATCACAGGCCTGTCACTGCGTCCCTCACCCTCTGTGCACTCTGAGGCTTCAATCAATCAGCCAATCCCCTTCCTCGGCCTTGCTACATTGGAAGTGACAGGTGTCTCGCTGGCTACCATCTTGACGACAGGCTACGACACCATAATTGTGCATACAAATCAAATCACAAAATGCGGCAAACAGGATATATCCAGTAGTTACATGAGACTAGTGGCAAAATGTTGAACAGATTTTACAGAATAAGTTATATACAAACGTCACATAGGCCATTATAGAGGATGTGAGGCCGGGTTTGGCTGTGTGTTATCTCGAATGTACAGCATGAGGAGGCGATCAGGGTGAATTCAATGACAGAGCTCCTCTCTCTCCCACAGGAACTTATCAGCTGGGAGTTTGATGGCCAGGCAATCATTGCTGCAGGCACCTTGTTAACAAGCCTGGGGCAGGTGGCAGGATGCAGTGCAGAATATCAACATAGCACTTTCGCCAGCTGAACACAAATTTATGACATTTTTGTGCGGGATGGTTTGTCAATGGGAGGTTTTCATTGAAGCACCGAAGTAGGACTACAACCACTTTTATTCTTCAGTTCTTTTTACATTTTATCCAATTTTCAGGGGGCGAAATTTCACTCAGAACAGAGTTAAGGCACTTCTGTAATGTATTGATCCGTGTCACAGCCTATCACATTGTGCTGGGCACTTTTGGGGAGAGCTATTGTTATGCCATTACCCTGGGTGCATCGGCCTGTACAGCAGTAAGTGAAGATAATTGGGTGTTCTGGTTTGAAGCACAAGGGAGCTCATATTTCCTCATTAGAGCTTTATATAATGTAATACAGCGAAATTGTTGTTTTCATCCTTGTGGAACCAGCAAAGATCAGGATGTGGATTTCACCTGTAGCCTTTGCATACGGTCCCATGATTTCTACTAGAGTAAATAGAGATAATATGGTGATACAGTTGGTAGCTCCAGGGAGCTCTCACTTCCTAATTAGAGTTTTAGAAGTATAGTTTAGGTATATTCTCATAGAGTTTAATACCATGTGATTCCTACTATACTGTATTTCTTTGTAAGTTCTGTACACCTACAGCAAGTTTCTCAGTAACCTGATTAATTGGGGCCATAAATATCTTAATTAATTTCCCCTTACTGGTCCCATTTCACCTCAAATTCAAATGGTCTTTTGGCTCGTTAGTATTGGAGGCAGATCCTCGTCATCGATTGCAAGCTGTCACCAACTTAACGAGACTGAAAAATTTAATTACGATTCACCTCCTTGCTTGCTGTCTGTCTTCTTTTTCTCTCGATAACCCTCCTGTCGAACAGGCAAACACAGAGAAATGCGCCACCGCATCGGCAGTGCACCCACGCATACCCTCTCCACAACAATGAACAAACGCACACATGCCATGTGACTTAAAGCCCTGTTGACAAAACATTCTCCACTTTTTTTTTTTATTTACTTACGCATATAAAGAAAAAAAATGCATTAAAAAAAAATCCTGGACCCTCATTCATCTAACCTCACAAATGTGAGGTTGTGTTGATGTGTTCATGAAATTCATGCAGACACTCACACAAAAAATTGAAGACTCCACACAACCCCGAACACACACAGACACTCTCCTCTTACCACTTATATCTGCGCTGGTAAGAAAAATAAAGAAAGCTCTGGGGACTGTCTCTCTGGACGCAGTGAAGTCAAAGAGAAGAAAGGGAGCGCTCTATCACACCAGGAGGGAAGAGAAAAAGCAGCCACCCCAAAAGAATTATGCATGGAGTAACAAAGGTTAGCTCCAGAAAGGAGACGGAGAAGGAGGAAAAAGCAGGGAGGTATGGTGGAATGGTTGTGGGTATGTAAGCATGTGTGTGAGAAGAGGACGGGAGGTGTAGAGGACGGCAGCAGGAGGGGGCCGGGTAGTTTTAAGTGCAAAGCACCGTAAAGCAGCTCCGTCCTCGCCTTGAACCTTGACAGATAAAAGCAGACCTGTCAGTGTGTGAGGAGGTGAAAAACAGCAGCTTAATGTATGAATACCTTCTTCACCTGTGTCCCCAGCCTTGTCTCTATCTCAGCCTTACTGATATACTGACAGCAGGTGCTGACTTCCCTTGGGAGAGTAAATTGCGCCAGCCTATGGACATAAGATAATTCCCCAGAGACTGGAGGTTTTTATGGAGGACAGGGGAGTAACAACAGCAGGTAACAAAATATGACAGCGCCGGCTTTACAGTAAAAAATAGTGGAATGAATTTACAGTTTTGCATGGTTTAAGAGCAGTGAAATTCAGTCCGCTTATGGGTGGCTGTTTGCCTATTGGTGAGATTAAGACTAAAAAGACTCTGTGTAACAGAGCGGCGACAGGGGGCTTTGGATTTGCTTGGCTTTCAGCTAGATCAATGGGGTTACATTAAATGGCAAGAGTCAGAGGCTTGTAGAACATCCAGAAAGAACACTGCATTTAAAAAAAACAGCATGCGTACCGAAAACAGAAAACATGAGAGGTGGGAGAGTCCTGTTAAATGAAATTTTGACTATAGAATACAAGATTGGCCCGCACCAACTATTTGCAAAGTCATACAAGTTCTTAGACTACAGTCTAGTTTCAAAAGTGAATTACTAAACTAGGTTCCACAAGTCTAGGTCCAAACCTATTGTATGGCTGGAACATGTATAAAACACGAGAGGGCTTTTAATTTAAAACGAAGGCTTTTAATTTGTTATGGATACAGGAAGTGTCAGCATTCAGCCAATCAACAGTGTAACTTCATCACTCAATCTTTTAGCCATGGACTTTCGCATTTATGGGGCTGGCACCTCTGTTGCGATCCAGCCAGAAATGTCTGATAGTTATTTGTGCAGTTTAGCATGGGTGGGAAATATCGGGATATACTAACCCAGCACCAACCCAAGGTTTTGTAATTGCGTGTTTTTTTGTGAAATGTAATTTAAAATCCTCCCAGTTTACATCATTTTTAAACAGCACTGTATCAACTATATTCAATATTAACCCTCTGACTCTTTAGTGTTTCCTTTAGCTATGCAACAGCTGCATCAGGCAGTTACTGTTGCAACTGGGTCTGGGACACAAGAGCTAGTCTTTGTGGTGCAACCTGATTTATTCAGGGATGTATGCATTTCCACTTATGTTAGAACCAGGATAAGTTCTACTATGTACTTCAAAAGCTCCTCTGCTGCTGCTTTATCTTAGGCTACAGTATATAAACTGTGAGAGGTGCCATAAAGATCAAATAAATCCTGACAGGAGACAGTCCAGAGAATCACAATGCCAGGAGACGTGCCAGCGGGTCACGACAGGGACAACATTTGTGGCCCATATTTTACTGCCTTGGCGAGGGTTCAAGTAGTTCTCAGTCTGATTTGT